TGCACGCCTTGTGTGGAAATGGAAAGAATCAAGGCCGTGGACAGAATGCAGGGCGACAGAATTTCAAAGGAAAAGGTCGTGGCAAGCACGCACAAGAACCTTCTCAACCATCGAATCCTTTGACAACTCTCCAAGTGGAACAACAGATTCTTCAAGATGCGGCTGAAAGACAATATAAAGCAAAGGTCCGCGAAGCCCTTCCGGAAGCAGCTTGGATCAAAAATGCCGCAGTCCTGGTACCAGGTGAGTGGACGGCGCGTGCATGCCATCCTCATGAGTTGACGGCAGCCGGAGGTGTCAGCTATGTTGGAAAGGAATTGGTTCCTGATGTTTTACGTCGCATAGGGTATACACAAGCACCATGCGCCATAGTCACCACGCAGCCGGCAAAGGAGTTGGGGATTCCCTATCCCAGTGTCGATGTCAGATGCTCTTTAGAAGTCTCAAATCAAGAAGGATCCAGGGAAATCGTTGAAGTCAACAAGTTTTTAACACAGATAGGATACGGAAGTCCCGTAGAGTTGGCCACAACAGGACCTTGCATCGTAGCTCCGAGAACCATGCACAAATGTGTTGCCAGATTCGATCTTCCAACAGGACTCCCAGAAGGTGAACTCACTGGAAGAATCGTTGCTGAAGCCGTCAGCAAGCATATCAATCCAGCATATTTCGTTGATGTGAATGCCAGACAGGACAATACGGCTACGTTGATGGTCCAAGATGTAGCCGTACATGATTTGCTCAGAGCGAGCGGGCAGGATCATGTTTACTTTCGTTTGCATTCAACTGACCCAGATGCTGATACGCTTGAGATCATTTGGCTTCCTGAACAAATCCCGCACAGTGATGCTTTGCAACTCGTGGCAAAAGAAAAGACTTTTGGACTGGCTCTCAAACGGGGTGCCAATGGTCCCCGATATGGTCTCCGTTTCAATACAACTGAAGCTATGAACGCATATGCAGTCAAATACAGCAAGGGTGAGAAGCACAAATGGGGTCGTTTCCGAGCCAGCAACATCCCGTCCTCCGTTGGATTGCGGGGACTACATGATATGCTATCACCCCTAGGATGGACAATTGAAGAGATCGAATTTTTCGGAGACACAGGAGCCGTGTTTTTGGCCAGTGGAAGAGGTGAACACGATCAAATGCACTTTGTCGATCACAACAAGAGGAAGATTCCGGTCATGATCAAAGCACTGAATTCACGTGCCAGAGATATGACCAAAGATCATGCCCAAGCCGCTGCAGCCAAGGCCAAAACAGCCCCCAAACCTGCCGCATCTGCATCCGGGAATGAGCGAGCTCAAGTTCAAAAAGCTCTATTTACCAAAAGATCAGATCCTGGCAAGACTGGAGAGACACCACCCCCGAAGCAAGCCAAACCGGGGGATCATACTCAGTCTTAGCTGAAATCAAACACGCAGCTAGTGAGCATGCCAGGTATGCACGCAATGTTGGTGTAGCAGTCAAACCTGGAATTTTGACACAGCTCACAGAGGAGAAATGCCCAGTTTGTCAACGGAATTTTTCCATGTACAGGTCCGAGACAGACAGTTTTGACGCATCACTCGGTGGTTTTCAAGTTTCCAAAGCTGTATATGATCAATTGCCCTACATTTACGTCTCTCACTTAATAAAATGTGCATTCTTGTCGGTTTGTAGATCCTGGTTTGTAGCCAGAAAGTTTCGCAACCGCCTCATGCATATGCTCCATGGAAACACATCAAACATCAAAGTTTCTCATTTGAATATCAATGGTATCCAAACTGAAGGTAGACTCCCTTTGGTGCTCAGCCAAATGCCGGAGTTGTTGATGCTGACAGAAACTCATGCCACAGAAGACTTGCAGAAAGCGACAGAAATGCAATATAAAAACCTTTTCTTTAGTTGGGGAGGAAATGCGACAAAAGCTGGAGTCGCAATCGTTGCCCAGCGTAGCAAATGGTGGTACTGCAAGGCAATTCAATTTAATGAGCCTGCACTTAAAATACTGCAAAAGAATGGTCGTTTAGCAGGCATGCAACTCTTCACCGGCGATGGTAGAATCAGCATCATAGCCTTATGTTTTTACGGTTTTGCAGGTACACGATGGGAAGCAAGATTGCAGCGAGAAAATGCCAAGGCACTCCAAGACATTTTCACATATGCTGCTTCACTCGGAAGTGTACCCGTGTTTGTCGGTGGCGACTTCAACCAGGAGCTTTCAGAATCAGAATATCTTCAGGAAATCACGTCCTTTGGTCAGTGGCACAATGCTGCACAGAACGATCGCACACCCACGTGCCTCAAAGGAAAGCAGGGCTCATGCATTGACCTTTTTATTTTGAACACTGCCGCCAATTCCTTAAAGACGGAATATGAAGTAACCCCAGGGGTTAAGGAAAAAGATCACCAGTATATCACTATCACTCTTAAGTTGCCGTCTCCTGTTCAGCATGAATATCGTTCCAAAAACAAAGATTCTAAAGTCGCTTTTGCCGATCCACCCGAAAATTACCAACCACCTAATATTGTCATACCCAATTTCGAATATGCTATTACCAACCAGAATGTGGAGAAAGCCTGGCATCTGTGGTCCCATGCGAGTGCTGAACTGTTTGCTAAAATTCCATTTCATGGTGAAAACAGTTGCAATTCCCACGTTTTCGCAGCCAAAGGAAAAGTTAGATTTGCACGGCAACGCACTTTTCCAAAGCAATTCGAAGAATCTGCCGCAACATTGGAAACGGTGAGATGGGCGAAAATCCTGAGACAAACAGAAGAATTGCAGAGGCTTGCCTTTTTCGGTCGCAGGGCTCAAATCACTTGGACCAATTGTGTAAAACAGATCGAGCTGACTCACTTTGATAGTGAACAAGCTCAGCATGTCCGCCAAGTTGCCAAATCATCTCTCAGCAAGCCAGCAGTGCAAGAGATTGTTTCCCAAGTGCCTACGGTCATTGAACAAGTACGAAAGCGAGAAAAATTTGACCGCATCAATTCCTGGAAGCGACGCATGAAAACATCCAAAAAGGAAGTGCATAAGTGGCTCCGAAAAAATGAAGCTATTTCCACTGGTGTAATGATGAACAAAGATGGAAAACCCACAGCTAATAAAGATGACATGTTCAATCTTATACGCGATGCGTGGGATAAAGTCTTTAATAAATATTCTCGAGGGGAACCAGATTCAAATCTCTTTTTCCAAAATTTTGGAAGCCACATGAAAAGCCATCCACAGCATTTAGATCCCTTAACTGGCAATCGATTGACTCAAACGCTGAAAGAGGTCAAGCCATCATCCACTGGTTTGGATGGTTGGTCCTTAGCTGAGCTTGTTGCCTTGTCTAAGTGGTATCCAATAATGTTTTCACATCTTGCCAGCCTACTCAATCTCATTGAAGAAATCGGTGAATGGCCAACATCTCTCGTCACAGGCTACACTACGATGCTTCCCAAGCCAGATGGACCTGCAATTCCTGGTCCTATGGATATGCGACCTATAAGCGTTCTACCCCACATCTACAGGCTGTATTCAAAGACCAGATTCAAGGATAGCATAAGTTGGCAGGCCCATTGGATCCATGAACGAGCATTCGGAGGGGTCCCAAAACGATCAGCAGAAACGCTTGCATTCCAGGTGGCCCTTGCAGTCGAAGCAGCACATTCACAATCCAAACTAGCCGGGGGTATATCCTATGACTTCGCTAAAGCATTCGATGTAATACCTGTCAATGTGATGTTAGACACTCTCCATGCCAGAGGAGCATCCTGCAGGCTTCTCAACTCAATGAAAGGAGTGTACAGTCAGTTGAGCAGAACGTACAGAATCCAAGGATCTTTTTCCGAATTTTGGCGCGCCTCCAATGGCATCATACAAGGATGCAGTTTATCACTTCTTGGACTTAATAGTTTGATTGCTGCCATCTTAGAAAAAGCAGATAGCATCCCCAGGTGCTTAATTGGTCGGGCTTATGCAGATGACATCAGCGGTGAATGTTCAGCCGAAGATCCAGCGGAACTCTTGCAACAGACCAAAAATTTCCATGACATTGTTACATCATATCAGCAGTGTGGACTTGGAGATATCAGCATGAAGAAAACTTTCACCTTCGGTGACCAATCACTGCGACAAGCCGTCGATCCTCAGATAGAACACGTCAATGATTTCCGATTGGTCGGCGTATCCGTTGTATCACAAGTACTCACTGGTAGCTTCACCAAACTCGAGCAAAAACGGTTAGACAAATGGAAGAACACAATTGCCAAAGTCAGATGTCTACCCTTGTCGTGGCCCGAAAAAGCTAAAACCCTATTGAGCACTCAATCCCAGGCCACCTGGGGCCAAGGTGCACATCAATTGCCTAACGACATCAAAGCATTAAATTTAGTTCGATCATCTCTCATGCGAACTTTCTACAACGCTGATTTTTACTCTATGTCTCCCTTGTTAACCTTTGCGCTATTAGTGCCAGTACAACTCGAGCCATCATTTGCTATGCAATATGCAGGTCTCCTGACCTTTCAAAGATGCATTTCCGGTTGTGCACAAAGTGCCAGGTTGGCCCAGCAAATTCTGACATCAGGAGCTGCCAACACAGTAGGACCTTGCGCACGAATTCAGGAGCTTGCAGATGGCCCCCTGAGTGAACCAATTCAACAACTATTGCTGAACCAAATTGATAACCTTGAGCTGTGGAAGCATAATCTCAGAGAACAATGGAGACAGAATCTTCTCAGACAACTCGAAAAAGAAAGGTCACATCAATATCAACATGCAACAAAGATTGATCGGAATATGACCATGATGTTCCATGACATGCTACAGCAGGTTGCAGATGGCACGGGCCATCCAGGTCTACAGCTCACACCAGAGGAAGCATGGATGAAACTTGCAGTGCTGCGAAGAATGCTAGCGGGCGGTTTGCTCACGCAATCAAGAATCCGCAGACATCGGAGACATAATGAAATTCATGTGTGTGAATGTGGTCTTGGAGAGGAAAGTACTGTCGAACATGTCAGTTGGAGATGCAAACATTTCGATCACATTCGGCAGCCTATGCTCTTACAATTGAATCCTCATATCCAAAATTTACCAGTTGTCACTCGATATGCTGCAGTTGCTTTAAGAGACACACTCTTGACACAAGACGAAGTTATCCTTTTGCAGTCTACTCTCGTTCAAATTTGGCAATCGCATATAGAGAGGTTCTACGGAGAGGATAACGATCCACCACCGAATGACCCAGATGTCGGTGTAAGCAGTGATAATCCTGAACCGCCAAAAAATGCTAATGGTCACTCTCTTGCGTTCAAAGCCGATGGAATAGGTGTGTTTTGCCAGAAGTGTGGAAAACATGTGACGAATCTCGGTCACATCAAGCTGAAGATCACTGGTAAGCGTTGTGAGTTCGAACATGTTTCGCCTAGCCAATATGTTGACCAGCCAGGAAAACATAATAATCAGAACAGATTGCAAAAAGCTTTTCAAGACATGAACGAAAAATACAACAAAGGGAATCATGTACTCGAATGGAATTACAAAGTTGGCAAAAAGCCACCTGATGAAGGTATCCTCAATTGCACAGCCTGCGGAAGAACCTGGAAATGGAAAGACCGGGTCAACAACCTCCCTAAGACTGTTTGCAAACCAATCACTATTGACAATAATATTAGCTTGCAAAAATCAGCGTCATCCAGTGCAGTCGAGCCAGTTGTAAGGCGTAGATTGCGGGGCAAACAGACCATTTCTCAAGCTTCACCTAGTGCAAGTTCAAATCTCACTCCTGAAACTTTGCATTCTCCAAGCGTTGCAGCTACGGAATCCGTACCTCGAAAAGATCTGTTCTTCAGAACAGGTATTGGATGAATGTCACAGAAAGGAGTCTCTCAGCTTGTGCTGGGTCACTCCGACAAGTTCAAGCTTCTTAGACCCACAGAGATATGACATGCCTACCAGATCAACCACAGCCACTAGACTGTCACAACGTCTTGTCCTATCTATGTGCACTTTATACAACATGACCATGGAAAGTTGGGACATTTCCGGTGCTTTTCTCAAAAGGTTTTTCATTTGAGCGTGTTCGGCAGCTTCTTCAGCGAAAAGGCATTTCCACACCAGTTCGTGTTGTTGCAGTGGTTCCACCAGCAAACACATGGCGTCATTTGGCGAAATTAGACGCCTCATTTGCAGTTCCTGAGCATGAACTTGATGAGTGGTTGTTGATTTGCGAGAAGCCAATATATGGATTGAATGATGCCCCTTTAGCATGGCAGTTGAACATTCACGATCATTTGGAAAGCCAAGGAGGATGTCAATCAGTTTTGGATGAGAACCTATTTTTCTGGAAAGACAAAGGACTCACTGCACTTATCACGACACATGTTGATGATCTAGCTGTGTGTGCCAACCGTGCTTTCTTGGATCAACAGTACAAGGCTTTGACAGTCAAGTACGGCAAGGTATCACAAGAGAAGCTTCCCTTCTCACACTGTGGAAGCAGGTATAGCTCAACCAACACTGGTCTTCGTATGGACCAATCAGATTTCTGTGCGAACCTCAAGGAAGTTCCAGTTGCGAACTCACTGAATGACGAACGAGACCTCACCAAAGAGGAACAGTCAACATTGCGTTCGCAGTTGTGGCGGCAACCAGACTGGATTTAGTTGCTGACATTGGTGTTCTTCAGAGCTACGTCACAAAGTCCAAGGTCAAGCATCTCAAAGCAGCCAATTTGGTTGTGCAGAAGGCCAAGGATCCCAAGTTCAGAGATTTGGGTTTGGTCTATCAAAAGTTCAGGCCGGACTCAAAGTGGCGTTTGGCTTGTGTTCATGGTGCCAGTGCGCCATCCAAACTGCGCGACTATGCACAGGAAGGAGCTTTGGTTTTGCTGATTGAAGATAGACTTCCAGAGACGGCAGACTATGACATTGATGGTGAAAAGATTCTGAAGAGACCTTTGGTGGCCGTGCTCATGTTCTTTGGAGTCAAGGCTCCAAATCAAAGCGGATATCGTATTCGACGTCACATGGTGAGACGCTGGCGGCCATCAACGGCATGGAAACCTCTAGCTTGGTGTCATTGAGAATCAGTGAGCTGATTTTGCCAGAAGAGAAGCCAAGCCTTCAACGTTTAGCTGCATTGCAAGAAGGAGGAAACGAAGAGTTGCCAATTGATCATTATACAGATTGCAGAGATTTATTTGAGCTGGTGACAGGAAGTAACTCATTACCGCAAGATCGCTCTCAGAGAATTTACATTCTTGCTTTGAAAGAGGCTCGACTTTGCGGTCGAATCAGATGGTTCTTTCTCATTCCAACGCAGTGGATGACATCAGATCCCCTCACTAAACCTATGCATTCTGGACCTTTGCTTCACCTTCTCTCCTCTGGGGTTGTGCAGTTTCGTAACGAAGGAAAACACATCATCTGTGGCAGGCGACTTCCAAAACTGGAGATTGACGATGAGACGAACTTAGAGTATGAAGATACGCAGATCACTCAAGCGCTGCTTCTGGCCTCGCATTGCTTGGTGCCCAAGAACTTCTGCTTTGCATTCTTTGCGCTGCTTTGCATGTTCTTGCTGCCGGTGGCGACATCGAGCCCTACAACATCGGGCTCAGGCAATGGCAGTCTCAGTGAGTGAGGAATCAACAGAACTTGGATGGAGTTCAGTTTTTGTGATTTTCATTGTTTTTGTGTCGAACATTTTGTTGCTTTTGTTTTCATCTTGCTGTTTTTGCTGCTATCAACGCTGTTGTAATGGGACTCATAACTCCAAGAAATCCCTTCTAGATGAACGAGTAGAATCCACTGTTGATCTTGGTGACCGTGCCCTGTTGAAGATCATTTCAGATCATGAACGTGAGATTGAAGTCCTAAAGAGGACGATCAAATGCCGAGATGAGGAGAATGAAACACTCAGGCTCCACGGCATAAATCACGATGTATGGATCACCCAAGGTGGTCACAAATGGCACCAGTCATCCAAGTGTGCTAGTGTTCGCAGCGCAAGTGCTTCAAAGAGATACGAGGCTTGCCCAGGCGAGCCCAAATGAAGCCATAAGCAGAGTGAAGTTGTAAAGATGAATTCACATGTATCATATCCCTGGATCGCAGACGCGTCTTTAGGGTCAAAACACCAAGTGCTGCTGAATGAATTTTCCACCCCAACTTTGTCTTTGTTTCTTCCCGTGATTTTTGAAGGGTCTTTGCAGCTGGGTATCCACATTGCTCCGAGAAAAACATTGTGTTGTTCAAAGGTTGAAACAAATTATGAACTTGCAGGTTCAACCAACAGCTTGAAGAGAAGAAATCCAAATCCACATACCATGCCAACTCTTTGCAATGTAAAAAAGACAAACAGTAGCAACCAAATTCTTTGATTGCCCAAGCCTTTCTGGCGGATGTATATTTTTGGCCTCACCGTCACCATCGACAGCAAGGTAAACATGGAAAAGCAGGCTCCAGAGAAGTCAACGGAACGGGCACCCCCAAGAGGAACACGATGGGTATGGGTCCAAAATTCAACGGAGCCACAGCGTTTGGTCATTCTTCGTCTTAACCATCCAGTTTTATTTGGAGGTTGTTTTCCCCCAAGAGTTGTTGATTTTGAATTATGTTGCTTAATCCGAAATGTTGATAGTTGAATCCAAAGTTCTGTCGGTTCAAGCCATCATTAAAGTTGCTGGTGAACTCTCCCATTTCTAGCCCAACTTGGTTGATATATCCCCAGTCGAATTGCCATAATTGGGGTCTAAAATCAACCATGTTTCATAAGGAGAATTCCAGAAATGGTGGTACCTCCAAATCATTCATTTGTTTGGTGGGCTCAACCAGCTGTTGGGGATCCTCCATTTATGCAAAACTAGTTCTACCTACGTATTACTACTCTATTCCTAGCCATTATAAACTCATATTAACCAAACATTATTAGCCCCATCCCCGGAGTGTCACCATCGCTGCTATGGCGCGTCCGCGCCAGCCCTGGCAGCCCACGCGCAACGCCGCAAGCTGCGAGACGCGGCGCTTGCTGCGGCCGGTGGCGGGGCTGAAGGCGCGGCCACGTTCATGGCGAGTTCGCCGGTTTGAACCAAGAAAATATGGAGCTGTCCGAACATAGTTTAACTATCTGGAACCAAAATCTGGGTTAAACATGTCTTAAAATCTGGAAATATGGAGTTTAGACACCCTCAAACCATCATAAACCAATTGGAGATCTGTGTCCAACGTGCATTCGTAGCAAATTCCTCAGATGAAGCGGGCAGTGTTCACTGAACCATTGGTTTATTTGACGATCATTTTCCTGAAAAAAATGTTGCAATTGGGTGATATTCCCATCTTCAGAGACACCAGTATGGGGCAATTCCAGGCATATCTAATAGAAATCACAAGTGGTGGTGTTTGCTATCAATAAATATGGGGATTCAAGATCAAGACTAGGGATTTTAAACATCAAACATGGGGATTTGACTACCAATGATCAGCAGAAATATGGATACAACATGATACAACTAGGAAAATCAATGGATATGTGCTGGGTCGATCAGCTGCAAGTTTGAATGGTTGATTCATGTTAAATCTCTATTTTTGATGCTTAAACAATGTTAAACCATGAGGTCGTCAGGTGTCCCCTCTCTAACTTGACGGCCCGGCAATCACAGGAGGGTGTACAGCTGCCAAAAGGAGTGGAGGAGGAGCAGTCGCGAGATCTTGCTTGTGGTATTTGGATGTATTTGGGTCAAGCAACTGAATTTGGGGACTCAGAATAAATCCTTCATATCAGAATAGACCTAAACCTATTATGTCTTTAACTGAATGGGAGTCTAAGATTCTAAGATTATCTAAGATTGACTTTATGGTATTTTCTGGGTGTATTTGATCCGGTGGATCGGGCCTTTTTTTTACTCAAGGATTGTACACGCAATCAGATTGGACCAATTCCCATAGATACCATGAACTCTTTGGGAATAAACTATCCATAGATACCATGATATCTATCAGACTTACTGTACTCTTTGGGAATTTTTCACAGTTTGCGAACTGGAAAAGCACCATATTTTTCACAGGTGAATCATGAAAATAAATATCTATAAATGGGCAATTTTCCACAGCAAACTGTTCAATCACAAGGCGCCCTACATTTCGGTTGCTCCGATCCTGCAGGAACTTCGTGAAAGCATCGACAGGAAGGCTGGATCTTGGAAACCAAATGACCTGGAGATAAGGATCAACAAGTAGAATCATTCCCAATTGAGTGAATTGCTGTATATATATATATATAAGTTAGGCCTTGCACATCTTCCAACTCATCAAACCCAAAACATTTCAAAGCCACCAGCCATCTTATCATCAGCAAAACCATAGGGGGGGATACACGCTTTAACAATTTCCAATCAAACATAGGTCAAAATCATCTTTTCAACAAGTTCCCCAAAAGCATATAGAGATGGATAAGGTGGCATAAACTATGATTTCGCGGAATAGATACATGAGTTGGAAGATGGGCAAGGCTACTCCCTTTCAAAAACCTCCCAGTGCTCCTTTTCACTGCGGATGAACTCACGCTCTTGCTTGGTCTTTGGCTAAAAGCCACATGTTTTTTTCGGGCAAATTTTGCCAAAGTTTTCATAACACACCAAGTTTTGATTGAAGGCTGTTTTGTCGCCCTCCAAGCTTTGGTTGAATTCGTCGCCAAATGTCATGCTTTGAAGGCTCTGTCTGCCATGTTCTGTTCAAGTCTTTCTGCCGCAAGTCTTTTCTGTGCGGTTGGACAAAACTGACTGGGCAAGAAAAAAAGTTTGTCGGCGAAAGGGCATTCTCACTGTGCTTGTCCCCTTCACCAAGGTTCGGATGAAATTCGCTGTGCCAAGTTCTATGCCTGACATGGGGTTGGTTGAAGAAACACTCTTTCGGCCAGTGGAAAAACAGCCCAAAACCCTTTTCTGACGTTGGTTTCAAGCAAAAAACTTGAATAAATTTGGGCAAGTCTCATATCTCATCACCAAAATGCCACACCAGTTGAATACGTGTCATCCAGCCAGTGTCAGAGATTAAAGCACCAAAATCCTGATATGGAAGAATAGGCACAATAAACATTGAAATGCTACACTTGGATTTAAAAAAGGGGGTCATCAACAAGAAATCAACGCTTCATAATCTCAACCGAATGTCATGCCGTTCCAGCAATACCGCTCCATCCGCCTTTTCCTTCTTCTTCTCCGTCTCTATAACTACGTTCTTTAGAGCTTCATTCTTTCGGGTGGACATGCTGAAGTTCTGGAACTTCTTGACAGTGGTGTCATTCAAACCACTGTCGTTATCATCATCTGGGTCGTGTCCATCACCTGTCGTTGTCCCTGTGCTGGTTGTGTTTGGTCCCTTCTTGGCTCGTTTTTGATTTTTTCTTTTTGAATTTCTTTTTCCATAGGATTCCATGTTTAATCCTCCAGCATCATTTCTATTGGTGAACATCTGACATCGAATCTGTCGCAGAAGGATTCGCCATGTCATCAACCCCACTTGGTGTGACTTCTCAGCTGATTCTCAGCTGATTCGGAGTTTTTTGGGGCCTTCTGATTATCCAATTGGATGGTCCCTTCATGTCCCTTCTTGATGGCCTTCAAAATGACTTCAATCATAGTAACCCCCCAAAAAGATGCTGAAGTATAGTCTAGTTAATATCGTTCAACAATTTAGCACTAAGATTGGGTGATCCCCTCAATAGCCATCACTTAACCTTTTTGTCACCGACACCAGGCGTGGCTCCCTACCGCGGGAGCTACTGCTGAGCCGCGAAGATGGTGGGGATCTGCCACCCCAGCAGCGGTGGATCTTCGAAAAAACGCTGCAGCATCACACGGCCGACGCCTGGATGCAGAGGGTGGAAGCCTTGGACAAGGCATGGGGATATTCCGAATTTTTACTTGGGGTTATGATTTTGGATGATTTTATGGGATATTCATATAACTTCATAACACTTATATAATCTTTATATAATCTTTATATCATCTTTATATCATCTTATATCATCTTATATCCAATATACCATGATGTTTAAGTGATATTTGAACACCAATCATCATGGGGATATGATGGGGATATTACAGGACATTTTGGGACCTTATCATGAACATAAGAGATCATTTTTCCTTGGTGAGGAGGGAGCTGAGGAACAACGTTTATATCCATATTCCCTTTTTAAATGGGGAACCAAGGAGCTGCTAAGAGTTTCCCAAGCGCATGATAGTTATGGGCTACGGGGGATATTATGGGATATATTGCTGGAATTCTTGGATATTTTTTACAGGGAAAGTCAAAAGGCCAATGGATTACCCACAGGTTGTAGCTGTCATTGGCATTTTCTGGCTACACGACCACGTAAAAAGGGATGATTGAGACCAGGTAACTGCAACTTGCGGTGAACTTGCGGTGTGAAAATCAGGGTGCCAAGGGGTTACCATGGTTTGGATGCCGCATCCCCGTCGAAGGCGGAAGGTTGTTCCATCTGCTTGGAGGAC